TAGGGGGAAAGTAAATGAAGGTTAAATCCAGGCCTTGGCTTTGGGAGGCATTTCTGGGCAACCTGCACTCTGCTTGGTCCCTCTGCAGTGTTCTTTTCCCTGGCACGATGGGGCAGCAGCGGCAGCACTGACAGCAGAGCAGGGGAAAGAGGTCAGGTAGGACAGGTGGGGAAAGGAGAGCTCTAGAGAACGAGGAGAGAGGTGTGAATGCACAGAAGACACCAGGTAGATGAGAATGAAGCAGCAAACACTCTCTGTCATTCAGGAATTTTGAAGAATTCCAATCTATTGTGGTGAGAAGGCATGTGCTGTAGGACTGCATTAGGATCCTCCAAGAAGAGCGTGTGTTTCCTTCCCTGCTTTAAAGAATTGAAACAGTGTGGAAATTAGTATATAATCAGTTTATAATTACAGTGTAAAACACTTATGATGTTAGGCAAGGCTGGGAAAGTTATCTAATTTTCAGTCCTCATCTCCTTGTGTTTCCCCTCCCATCAACTGTTTAACTCTCTTGAAGTTCATAACTTCTGTCTGCTCCATTTTGCTCCTCTGAAAAGTTACTGGAAAGGCAGCAAGAGCATCCCTGCTCTTGAGCTTCTTGCTCCCTAAAGCAGTGGGAAGGGCTATCCCTTCCTAATTTGCTAGTCAAAGTTGTGGGAATTTGCCAAAAAAACCTTTTGCCCTGATAAGGGCACTGCTGATTTCTTTAAGAAAATGTTCCAAAATAGGTTTTGCTGAACTTCCAGTAAAACACTGGTGTGTTTCTGAGGAAGAACCAGTAGACTCACAGTGCTGTGGTGGACTTCACAGGGAAGTGCTGGCAAGGGAATGGGCTCCTCAAGGTAGGCATGTCAGAGGCTGGGCCTCCCAAAAGCAGAAAACTCACAGCACCTGGAAGGTCCAGTTTCCCTCACACACAGCAGCAAGTCCTGAGAGCCACATCTCATAGTGAAATGTCCCCTCTCCTGCTTCACACTGGAAATTTGAATGGTTCCCACCACATGTGCTCCAGTTCTGTGCTGGAGCAGAAATTTGAAATGCACCTGGATGAAACACTTTACTGACCTGCTGGCCTTGGCCTTCCACAGCCACATCCTTGAGACATCCTTCTCCCAGATGTTGTCCAGCACCAGAAACGTTACGTTGCACTCTGGGGCTGCAGCTGGGGGTACGATCAGCAGGTACTGCAGGTCACTGCCCTTGGTCACCAGATGTCACCCACAGCACCTCTGCCTTCAGAGGTACAACCTTAAAACATTTCTTTCTGTGTGAGCAGTGATGGACAGATGAGCTAAAGGTATAAAATCCCCCTTTTTCTCTCAGAGACCACAGTAACATTCAGCCCCACTTCCATGTCAAGCTCAGGTCTGCATTTTAACATATACATTGAGGAGACTGTATAAAAAAAAATCTAATATTATGCTTTTGAATAGAGAATTTACCTAAGTAAATAATTATTTTTAAACCCAAGATTTAAGCAGCTTTAGTATTCCACATTATGCTAATGTTTGACAATTACTAAGTGTGGGTATCAGCCAGCATTTTTTTTTTAAGTTTAATTTAAAGCAATTTGACATGGAAAGGTTATTACTTTAGTTGCCAATAAAAGCTGTACTTTTAACATAAGTGTACACCAAGCCCTAGGGTATGTGACTATTATCTTTTCTGCAATTACGTGGTGTTCTACATAAATGTTTAAAAAAAAAAAAAACTTAGAAATATCAAAAGTACTAACTTAGCTGCAGTATGAAAGTTGAATAGCAGAGCCGGGAAGCCCGGCTCCCGCAGACACAACACAGGTTGAGGTTTCCTCCTAGAGGTACCGCCGGGAACGGCGCCTCCGCCGGCATGGCATCGCATCCTCCGCACCGCATCCCCCGCACCGCATCCCCCCTGCACCGCATCCCTCACATCCCCCGCACCGCATCCCCTGCACCGCATCCCCCGCACCGCATCCCCCCTGCACCGCATCCCCTGCACCGCATCCCCTGCACCGCATGCCCCCTGCTCTTCATCCCCCCTGCTCTGCATCCCCCCTGCACCGCATCCCCCCTGCACCGCATCCCCCGCACCGCATCCCCCTGCACCGCATCCCCCCTGCACCGCATCCCCTGCTCTGCATCCCCCCTGCTCTGCATCCCCTGCTCTGCATGCCCCCACACCGCAGGTCTTCTCCTGCTAGGAGGGGGGAAGGCTTTTCTCACATTCTTCACAGAATCACAGAATGGTTCTGGCTGGAAGCGACCACAGCGCATCTCCTGGTCCCACCTCCATGCTCAAGCAGTGTTATTCTAGAAAACATAGCATGGTGTTGAAGCCAGATGGTTCTGGAATATCCCCAGTGGGGGAGACTCCACACCCTCTCTGTTCCGTGGTCCATCACTGCACAGCAAAGTTCTTCCTTGTGTTCAGGTGGAACTTCCTAGGAGTCATTTTGTGCCTGTTGCCTCTTGTCCTTTCACTTGGCATCACCACCATCCCCTCAATACCTTCCTTTTGGATACTTCTAGACATTGATATAAACCTCTTGAACTTTGTTTTTCCCTTTCAAGTGGAAATTGGTGCTTCCACTTGACTTTAGGGCTGTGTCTCCAGAAGAGACCCCATGGTTGTAGCAATGAGCCTCCCCCACAGCACAAGGCAGAGTGTGGGGAGCCCCATGCCCAAGGAGCAGCCACCCCACAGCTCCCAACCCAAATGCCAAGTTTGGTGCTACCAGGCAGAAGCAGAACAGCATGTTCACAGCCCTGCCTTCGAGTGGAAATCAGCCATTTTCCTCAGGAAGTTCTGTGGGAAAGGGTGAGGAGCCACAGTGCCACTGCCAGATCTCCTAAATGGATGGAGCCCTGGGTTCAAGGCCGGGTTGGATGGGGTTTTGAGCAACCTGGTCTAGGGCAAGGTGTCCTTGTCCATGGCAGGGGGATTGGAATTAGAAGATCTTTAAGATCCCTTCCAACCCAAACCATCTGATGACTCAACAGGCCTGTGAAAAGAGAGATGAAAGTGTTTTCTTAGGAAGAGACAGACCAGCTCATACACACAGGGAGAAAGACACTTCCCTTCTGACACATGGTCTCCTCCAGGGTGTTTCCTTGGCCAAAGTGAGCATGCCATGAAAAACATAAGTACTGTGAGGGTATTTGCCAATTAGCTTGGGACTTGGCACCAAGTGCTGCATCCCCTTGTGCTGCTTAGTCCTGAGCCCTTCCCGTGTCATGGAGGGACAGACAGCCCCTTCCACCAGCCTTTCTGGCCAACATGGGGCAGGGCCAGGGCCCACATGGGCACACAGCAATGTCCCCAAACAGGAGCCAAGCCCCACACCAGTCTGTGCAGGTAACCTCATTCCTCTGCTCTGCCCATTCAGCCCTTCAAAGGCAGAGCCTGGGGGCAAACAGAGCAGACGAGACAAACTCTAGTCCAAACACTGGAGGCTGCTTAGTTAAGAGATCATTTTGATTTTTTTTTTAAGTCTAGGTGATTTTTTTTTTATGTCTAGGTTTTGTTTTTAACTTGAAACTTGTGAAAATCACAGCATGACCTTTGCTGGCTGAAAGTCTTCCCGAAACCAGGGTAGTGAAGTTCAGCTTCCTGCAGTATCCTGCCAGTGCCTTTTGGTGCTGAACTTCAACCATCTCCAGGCAAGGAATGGGAGTTCAACCTTAGCAGTCTGTTCAGTCTTTTGTCTTTCTGCTGAGAAAGTGAAAACACTGCTCATAGTTCCAGTGCCAACTGCAGTTTGTGTTTCAAATTAACTAAAGTTCATTATTTTACACTTTAGGTAGAAGCTGCAACAAACTGTTCACCAGCAGTCCAAGCAATAGTATACAAGCCCCTCTAGGATCCCTTGGAAGAGCTCCTGATGAGTTCACCAATGTTTGCACATTAACCTCTGGGTGAAAAGCCAGCCAGAGGGATGTGAGAACTCCACTGAGCCCTCCAGAGCATGACACAAAATGATGCAAGTGTGGGAGCTAGGAGAGAAAAGGTTTTGTGAGCCCAGAAAAATAATAAAACATTTAAATCCTTAATTGTTTTTCTTGAAGATTTATCCAAAATCAAGCTCTACTTAAGCCTGTGAGTTTGCAGAGCATTGTCAATAAATTAGATCATGCACACAAGGCAAGGATTTCAAGCCAAAAAGCTCTAGCCCTGAGTCGCTTAACAGCAGCACGCCCCAGAAAAACTACTCAAGATGAAACATGAGATATGTATTAATTATCAATGGTCTAATAGAAAATTTAATGAAGACAAGTATCTTCTTGCACTTTATCCACGATAACGATGATAGTACGTCAGCGAGGCGCATACCTTACAACGTAGCAGTGAATGTCAAGTCTGAAGCCATTACAGCAATTCCCCACAATAATGGGCAGCCAATGCATGGGCTTGTAGCACTTAATCAAAGTAATGACATCCATCCACAATTATTTATGTTATGGTAACAAAGAGCTGCCAAATGCAAAACAAATGACATGAGGATTTGCAAGTGAATTTCTTCCCGTAAATTCTCCTTAGGTTATGCTTTAGGGCACTCAGGATGGAAGTCTGTCTTTATCCAGAGCAATATCAGAACCATGGGGTTATTGTGCCATGTTTTACTGCCTATAAGCAATGAACCCAATGCTATCACCGAAACGAGCTCTTCAGCCAACAGAACTGTATCAATATCACTTGAGCTGGCCTTGGTTTACACCCAAGAGTTGTCTTCAGAATTTTACAAGAGGAAAAAGAAATTATTTGAAAGATGACCTTTGCTTACTTCTGTCTATCATGGAAAACAAAGACCCAGTAGTATCAACGCTTAAACACACATTTAACTTAAAGTGTATGAGCAGTCCCTACTTACCTCAATAGGTTTGGATTAGAGCCATTATAATTACCAACCATGAATCTCTATTAAGTGCAGCACTGTTCTTTCAGGGGCATTTATGTGGGTGTTTGTATAAAAACACTGTCAAAAACTAAACACCAGTAAATATAAAATGGCAACATTCAGGTTCAAATGTAATGAACTAATTTATTTTTTTTAACACTACATCCAACTGTTTTTCACCACTCACAGATGTCACTAGAACAACTTGAATACAAAAAAATTGCTTAAGAACAATAAACTACACAGACCAGCTAATACTGATTGCTTTAAAAATGCCCCCTGTTAAACTGAAATAATAGCCAAATCTCACTGCAGTAACTGTACTTTTATATCATTAAATACTAATTTAACAGAAATGTGGCTGCGCAGTGAAAAGCACTAAAATGCTGGAAAACTGAAAGATTGCCCTTTTTTTTTTTTTACTTTATTTTTCCTGTGCATTATACAAGTCTCCAAATTAACACCTGAAAGAAGAAAACAATAATTTCATATTAGCTGGCCACATAGTCACACAACCCAAAGCTGGGACTAAGCTTAACTCTAAAACTCACTTTCCAAGGCCCATGAGAAGGGAACTGCAGGATGCATCTCACCACAGGCTCTGGCCACCCTCGATGACCAGGTTGTGGCCTGTCATGTAGTCCGAGGCTTCGGAGGCCAGGTAGACCACGGCAGCCTGCAGGTCCGTGGGCTGGGCCAGCCTCCCGGCCGGAATGTCGCTCAGCCAGCGCCGCACCAGCGGCCGCAGCTCCTGCGAGCGGATCAGCGGCGTGTCAACGATGCCCCTGCAGTGACCAAAGGTTTAGCAAGGAGTCCTGCCCAGAAGGAAAGGCAGCACCTAGGGGTGTTTGAGATGTTCATTCAGAAGGAAAGCAGGGTAACAGTACAAAGGAGATGGGCACATCCAGCCTGCTCTGCCCTTGCTGAACGTCATGGTGCAAAAGTCATAGCGCTCCTTTCCTATCATCACCTTTTGCTGCTGATGGGCAGCTCAGAGGTTTCCTTTCAAGTGCAGATACAATCACAGGATCTTCTTAGCTAATAGCACAACCCCCTTGCTTTTAGGTTACCCATAATCACCAGTTTAAATTTCTTTTCCAGAAAACAAGCACAGCATTGGAAGTGCAAGTGCCTTGAATTGGTTCTGTCATGGCTCTTGGGAACTGTTGTCCTCCCACCAATTTCTCATCACTCTACAACTAATGTCATACAGTGTGCTTGTGTACAGCCCGGAAACTGAAAACAGACCAACTCCCCATATGTCAAACAACGAGGGGAACAAAAGCCAGCACCCTTCTGGGCACCAGAGCCTTTCCACACAAAAAAAAGGAGGGGCAGAAATAAGCACAACACACCCAGTGTAATCCCCCTTAAATCAACACCTGACAAATCACACTGATTTACCTTGTCTTGCCTCTTTTACATTAATGACTGACTCCACTATTTACTAAAACTCTGCTAAGTTTGTTTTTTTCAGGTGACCTAAAAATGATGCTGCAGGAAGCACAATGCAGGGCAAAGATTTGGCTGGCTTTTATGACTTTAACAGCAACTGATTTGTCATACTCCTCCTTAACAACATATTTGTATTTTGCGAAATGTATAATTTTTTCAGCCCCTGAACAAATATATTTACATAACTGTGTCTAACGAGAAATTACATTTAACTTCTCAGAAATGACAATAACTAAAACCTGAACTGCCAATTCCACTTCATTAGTGTGGTAGAAATGCATTCCAAATGTTAATAAAAATTCCAACATGCTGATAAATTAGCGCTTCTAAGGAGCATGTGACACCTTGGTTAACATATTCAACCTCAATTATATTTCTCTTCAGCACCCTGTTATCTGGAACCTTTGCTGGCAATCAGAGGTGCTGTTTTTCAGCGGCCAATTTTCTAGATAATGTAGCTTATCAACACTGTGGGTAAACTTGCCAATGAAATCAGGCTGCACTGAACCACACACACGCTAATTGCATCTCTTTTTTATGCATATTTACAGACTGTCACTTCAAAGAAATCAGTGGCCCATTGAGGCAGCCAGTTAGCTGGAAGAATTGCCTCTTGCAAATGAAAATTAGCAAACAAGCTAGTGATAAATATGAAATGAACAAAGTATAAAAATACCCGTTTTGTTCTGAAACTTCATCGGCATCCCAATTTAGACTTCCAAGGAAATAATTTTTTGAAACAGACTGGATTCTGGGTATGAGATTTACCTTTTGTTTTAAATGAAGGCTGAAATCCACTATTTACTCTGTTATGAAGTGGAACTAATTCAGATTTTCCCCCAAACATTTCTGTTTGCACTAATCAGGCAGGATTTAAATATCGGCTTTATATTTTATTGTAATTGTCAATAAAGAGCAGAGCAGTTTGGAAACACTGAGCAATGCAACTCACTTAAGTTCTGGCAATGGAACAAAATCAAGCACATTCCAATATAGGACTGCGAATGGTTTACTTATTTCCTTTAAGCAGAGCGCCCTGGTCTCCCTTCTTGCTTTCTGAAACTCCTCAAGAACTGGTTTTCTTCAGAGAGAAATGTGCTTTGAGCAGCAGACATGAAATATATTGAATTCCTCTCCCTTACGTGCCTCTCACTGAGCTTACAAAACCATCACCATCATCATCATCATCATTCTGGCTTTACACTAGCAGAGAACAGAATAAGATCCATATGATTTTCTTTTTTTTTTTTTTTTTTTTCATTTACAGATATATTTTAACCCCAAGGGAATGCAGATTAGGGAATAAAACACACAGTCCTCCAGCACAACAGATTTTGCTAAAAAAGAGGATGTTTTTCAATCTGTTAAGAAAAATGATCTTTGGTCTGAACACTGCAGTCTGTTAATCACCGTGCTGTGCCTCTTGCTGGACCTTTCTTTAGGTTCACTCCACATAGCAAAACTTTAGATGTGAAACCAAACTTCACTACAAATTTTTGTTATAGAAATGGGAAAAAAATATAGCGCAAAACTTAAAAGTTGCAAACACACATACTGATGGCACTATAAATATTAGGCATGTCATTGATACTACACATCTTCTGGGAAAGCTTGGTGCCAAGTTGGGCAATTTAACGTTGTCGAACCCTTTTAGGCAGATTTTAGTTGGCTCCTAACCAGTTCCAGCAAAGACAACTGCCAATGCATTAATTCCCTACCTCATCTCGTATGCAGTGCTGAGCCTATCAGTACTTTCTGTTGCATGTCAATGTAATATCAAACTGCTGGTTCCTTAATGTTAGATATGAGCATCAATATTTCATTATTGATACACAGGACAATTTGGGATATGAGGAGGGGAAAAAAAAGACCACAAAAAAAAAAAAAAAAAAAAAAAAAAGAGAGAAAAAAACAATTGCCTGAAACATTTCCACTTTGAGAGACACATTAGGAAAAATATCACTTACCAGATACTTAACTGGAATTGTTACATGCACTCAATCCCCAAATGAGAGCAAAAAAAGATTCCATCTGTGTGTAACTTGATTTCTTTCAGATGAGTTATTAATTTGAATGAGTTAAGTACACTCCACTTAATCAGGAAGTGTTTAATCACAAGATCCACTTAATTGGGACATCTCCCAAGGAATTAAGATTTAAGTCCAAAGATACTCACCAGCAACGACTGCAGCTTAATGGGGATAGTAATGCTGCTTAATTGGGATGCCTTCAGGTGATGCTGGGGTGCTCCTTCACCTGGCAGCTCTGCCTCTCCTTCCCCCTAATGGGGTGCTCCCCAAACCTGCCCATCCTGCTTTCTGGGGCTACAAGCCTGGTGCAGCACGGTGTGGCTGCCTCCAGAGGAGCAGGGCAGGATGCAGGGCACACAAAGGCTCTTTGCCCAGCAGCCCACACCCAAATCCCTGCAGCCCAGCAGGAGGGAACATGGTTCATCCCCCAGGGCTGCTGGCCTGGCTGTAAGTTGACCTTAGTATCAACATCCACCTGCCCTTCCCAAAGGTCATCACATAATGGCGTTTCATGTCTTGCTAATCAAGAGGGCACTAATTAGCCAAAAAAATAGACATGGATTCAGTGTAATGGCTGCAAAAATGACGTGTTCAGTGCTGCACATGCCAAAAACCAGACACCTTCCAGAATTTCTTCTTCCATCACACCCAACACACTTCCATGTCCTGGAACCAACAAAGAGACTAAACCTGCGGGCAGCTGGGCATCAGTCATTGCTCTGTAAAGTTTCCTGACTACACCCAGGTACCCCCTGCAGTTCAACTCCCACATCCATTTCAGAAAGACTCCAGGACCTTCTTCATATTTTTGGCATCAGCTCTACAGCAGGCTATGAGGTGATGGCACTGGATGGTGGTGCAAACACTGAGCACTGGTTCCACAATAGCAACAGCATAAGTCAGCCAAAACATCCAGGGAATCTCAGCCACCTTCTCTCCCTGGGCGTCAGGTTTGCCTGGCCAGCAAGAGAAGCCTGCATGTTCAATTTTATAAATGCAATAAATCATCCTAAGGACTCTGTCATAACATTTTATGCATTGCTAACTTTTATGCATTGCTCTGCATAAGTTTTATGCACTCATTAAGAAATTAAGTTGATAAAAAGTGACCAGGTAGGAAGAGGGGGGAAAAGCCAAAAGGTTTGCATGGTGAAATAATGTTTAAGGCCAGACTGAAGCATTTGGAGCTTCAGACAGAGGCACACTGGGAGTGCCTTAAGGTTTTAATGCAACCATGACTGGGAGGGGCAAAGTACTTAAGGACACAGATATTTTACTTATCCAAAGCTGATCTTGGGTACTATTGTGCCTTATATCTACATCTGTTCTCCTCAGACTCCTTAAAATCCCACCCTGTTATGACACTGAGGCTCCTGCTGGTGGTGGGTACTCAGATCAAGTGGATTGAAGGTTTCCCTTGTCCTCGATGAGTCACATCAAGAGACAGTGACATTAGTGGGGTCCACAGTTTGGGGTATGGGGCCAAACATGCACTGAAATGCAGGTTCATATCTCACATAGAATAGGATTATAAATGTGAATAGTTGTTCACTCAGAAGCAGATGTGGTTTTTGCTCATGTGATGAGGGATCTGAGCACCATGAACTGCTGCAGACTCCTTCCTCGTGCCCAGAGGTCCCTGGGCAATCCCATCAAGAGGGACTCAGCCAGAGCTTGGAGGATCTGTGAGGGAAGTCCTGCTGTTCTCCAAAGCAGCTCAGTCCAGGTTCCCACCTGTGTTAGGGAAAACTGCTCTGTCCACAACAGGGGACCTCAAAGGCAACAAAATATTTGTTCTCCCTGTGTCCTTCCTGGCTATTCCTGCAAGAAGACTACACATCACCCCTTTTTTTGTAAGGTTTTGAGCTCAGAGCTAGAGTTTAAGACAGGTAGAGATGATCAAAATGCAATCCTGTGCTGCCTTGAAAAGTAGAAAGAGAAGCTGTCTATTTTTGCTCCATGCTCTGGCAGCTGTCTCCAGAAACGCAACTTCTCTAGAAGTGAGTGCTTGCTTCCAAGCTGTACAAAACAATGAGTTTTTATCATTTCGTGCCTATAGTTTAAATTTATGTAAGCCCCTAAGAAACGGGTAATTCCTCCTGTAAGAGCCTCCTCATTTAATTGCTGTGAATGTGGCACAACTATCCCACCTCTGCTGGTGCAGATTACCCATATATTTTCAGACACAGCTCCTGCCAGGTCCTGCTGAGCTTCCCTAATTCCCTTCATCTCCCCAGCTCCCGAAAGCCAGTGTGAATTCACTAGCACTACTTGTAGGAGCACCATTACAGTCTGCTAGCATGGGCATAGGGAAAATCCCACTAGGAAGTAAGATGCTGTTGAAAGAATCTGTGGATCACGTAGAGTGACGGCTGGAGTCTGTGGTATAATTAGTAATAAATAATCATAAGGAAGACAGCTAGCACAAGCAAGGGGAGAGCAGACCAGCGGTAAAAACAGAAGCACTTGCCATTAAGCTCTGTGATTTTTTTTTTCCCTCCACTTTGTGGATTAAAATATGTAATTTGTTTTCCCTAATTTGATCTACATTATTATCTTCATTATTACAATTTAACTCCTGGGTTAAAATCCTGCCCTTCTTAGTTACTCTGATTGACTTCAATGGTCTACAGAATTTGACCGCTTCCAATTAATGCTATCCACTTGGGTTTCTGCTCAGCACTATCATGCACTGCTAATTGTTTAATAAAATGACTGGTTGGGCATGTTCATGAGAAACAGGGAGAGACAAAGTGAATCTGGTAGGAAAACTTTTCTTTGTGAATAAATACCCTAAAACACAGAGCTTGAAATCTCCAAAAATAAGGAAAATGTAATTTGTAATAAATATATATATATTTACGAAACTACACCTGGCCTGTTGGAGCTAAACAGTAGCTCAATAACAGCAATAAAATGTGGTTTTTACAGTGCCTATGTATTTGTCTCAAGTAAAAAGGGAAAAGAAGAATTGTCTGTTAAGTGTCAAAACCCCTTTCTTTAACCAGAGAAGGCTTGGACAAACTAAGGAAATATTTCATCTGGAAGGGAAATGCTAAAAACTACCCTTCACATTATTGGAAAACCTATTACCAAATGCTAAAACCTCTCCTTAAATCCCTGAGTATACACAGCAACAGAGCAGGCTTGGTTCTAAGTATTTAAACCTTTGTTAAGGAAAAGACAACATAAAAAGGGATGCAATCCACCTGCTAATTAGAAACTTTATTTGCTGAGATAGTGTTCATTTGAGCTTTGTAGAACATTTCATTCCCTCTGTAGTTTCAAAATGGGACTACATTTTACTTACGGGGAAATGCAGTTGACTTTTACTCCTCTGTCAATCCACTCGGTTCCCAATGTCTGTGTTAATTTTACGACCCCGGCTTTGGAGGCGTTGTACGCCAACTGCTTCTGTGGGTGAGGGACTACAAGGGATTCAGAAGAAGAAAATTATTTATTCTTCCCAAATTAAAATAGCTCAGGCACTACACAGACAACTCCCTGCATTGAGATGAGCTATTTGCCCTTTTCCCAGGTACCAGGCAGGGAGCCTACAACAGAAACCCCTAAATATACATTTTGCCATCTAACAATTTTGTCTCAGCAGATGGGGCACAGGAAAACAATGGTGAAAAAAAAAATAAAGACATATAAAAGATCCCATAAGACAAAATGTTGGGTGATGAGACAAAACCGATGTGTTAAACATATATATGCAATACTTGACTGCTCTGAACAAAGATAAATAATCATGTACACGTATGCACATTCATATATACATATGTATGTTTCTATACTTGTACACTGTAATACTAATAGAATATATTACCATATAATTCTAAAATATTATATAATTAATAATATAATGTCTAATATATGCATTATGTGTTATGTAATATATTAATATTATTTATTATATTATATGTGGTAGATAATACGTGATAGCTGAATATAACAGCAAATTGTTTGATATGACATTATATGATAGAATATGATATAAGTGCATAAAAGATTTTATATAACATATTATATATAGCTTCTTGGAACAAATTATTCTCCCTAATTTTTAAATTAGCCATAGTCTGAGGCAAACACATCTTATGATCTAACTAATGTTTGTGTGGATGTGAACACAGGTGCATCCCAAAAATTCAGAACACCCACCACTTTCAAAATCTGAAGCTTTTGAAAATGTTTCAGAGATGTCACATGTCAGTCAAAGACAGAAAATGATCAGCTTGCTAATTACAATGTTCAAGCTTGTTAGTGCCGTGTGCTCGGGTGGCTCTGCCCCTCTCCAGCTCCGTGAAAGCTACTTAAGGACAAATCCCCAGTGGGTGTAAAGTGCCTCAAGCCCACGGGAGTCAATCCAAGTCAGTCCAGGTGTTGGGATTCACACCCACAAAGTATCTCTCCTTGGACTTTTCTGGCTGCCATTAGGACTTCATTAAACAAATCCAGTGCAAAGCATCCATCCATAATTAGCTCTGTATCAGCACAGAGCTTCACTGAGCTGCTGGCTCTGATGGAGGGAGAGAGGGGGAAATCAGGGTAAATATCAGTAGTCACAAAGTCAGGCAATTCCAGCCTGTGGGGTTGGATAACGCTGAACCCTGGAAGAAAGGGAATCACTGGGTTTGCACAAGGTTCAGCAGCCAAACCCCAACTCCCAGCACTTTGATGAAAGCACATAAGCAGCACTGGTAGCTGGCATTAAACTGGTCTCAATAAATTAAGCTGATGCATCAGTTCTATATCACTCCCACCCATGGCATCCCAACACACCCACTACTGATTTTGTTGACCTAAAACTCTTGGGTTTGAATATGTCAATGTAAAGGGTGGAAAGAAGGTGATAACTAAGTTACCCAAACTCTGAAAAAACCAAAAAAGCCCTGCTGCAGACTAGTGAGCATATGAACAAGGACCTTTGCCCTGAAGAGAGATGTTTGTGAATACATTAAAAGCACACACATGATGGGAGCAACAATTAGAGGGGTGTTTTTCTGCATATGCTGCAAGTTTGCTCAGAATTCAGAGGTTTTTCCTTGCTAAAAAGAGCGTTTCATGCCATGGCCCTCCTCTGCCAGCATTTATTCTGCACTCTTTTTTGTTCAATAAGAAATAATTTGCATTTTGACCAGCAGAACTGCTTTGCCCTCAGTGTGGGCCTGTTGCCCCCTGACGCAGCTCGCCGTGGGGGCTCTCAAAGAGATGTGGAACGTAATTTCTTGATTAATTGCCATGCAGCAGCTCCAAGTAACATACAACTTCGGTAGTTAACCTTGTAACCTCCAAAAAGCAGTTCTTTGCTAAACTTTCCAAACATGTTTGGCTGTGATAAATCATTTTGGTGATCATTTGCTAAGAGGAGAGGAGTTCTGGCACTGGCTCTGCACCTACAGTGCATGTGGGTGAGAACAAGTTGCTGCAAGCCATGAGAATCAGCTTCTGACTTGGGTGATGAGACACAGCTATCAAAAGTCCTTCCATGGACTTTTGTCTTTATAAGAATATATGAAGAAGGTAATTAGGAGCATGAAATTTTCCCCTGCTGAGACACTCAGCCCCTCTCAATTGGAAGAACTCAAGGAGAAGCCAACAGGTGCTGTGACTCTCTGGTGTTGGATGGGATTTCTGCAATAAGAACCCCATGCCACCTCCTCTTCCCTTACCTAAGGTGGTCTCTTACAGAGAGAAGAGCAAATCTGTAACCCTCCAAACTCATACAAAATGGGGTTTGTGAATTAAGCTATGCCTCCAGCAGTGTCATCAAAAAAAATCTGCATTGCTAAGGCTTCTGGGAAGTGTGAATACAGACAATAGGAGAAAGCAGATAAAAATTCTGCAAACATTAGCTGTGTTATGTTTTAAACACCTTTGTTCTGACTTTGGCTGGGTTTTTTTTCCTAGTAACTGTTACAGTGCTGTGTTTTGGATTTAGGACAGGAATAATGTTAACACACTGACGGTTTAGCTGTTGCTGAGTGGGTCTTACTCTAAATCAAGAACTTTTCAGGGCCTCCTGCTGCCCTGCTAGCAAGGAGGCTGGAGGCAAAAGAACCTGGGAGGGGACATAGCCAGGACATCTGACTCTAACTGGCCAGAGGGGTATTTCAAACCACATGGCATTGTGCTGAAAAACAAAACTGGGGTAAGTTGGCTGGGTACATTGAGCGTTGGTCAGTTGGTAGTGAAAAACTGCACCACTTGTTGTTTATGTCCTTTTTTCCTTATTATTATTTACCTCTCATTTTCTGTCCTAATAAACTGTCTTTATCTCAACCCACAAGTTTCACCTTTTTTCCTAGATTCTCTCTCCCATCCTTGCGGGGAGAGAAGGAAGGGCTGTGGAGTTATACCACAACAACCTGACACTGCTGTCACCCCCCTGTTTGGTGCATCAGGCTCCCAGCCTGACCTTGAAGCAGCCACACAATATTAATGAGAAGTGCACACAGAGCAGAGCAGAGCACTTCCCACTGAAGATATTCACTGTAAAAATTACAGCTCTGAGTTACACCTGAGTGAAGGGCCGAGCTGCCGCTGCTGGAGCCTATGCCTGGAATAATTCCATTGGAACACCAGAATCAAAATGCACATATGCAAAATGTATGCAGCTTATCTTCAATTAATTAAAGCTGATTCTGAGCAGTGTATCTGGAAAAATCACAAACAAAAACCTCCCTATCCTGCTAAGTGTCTCCTCATTTTCCTGTATCTCTGAGGAAGGACTCAACCTACAACAACAACAAAAAAAATATCCCCTAACTATTTCTAGAAACATTTCATACTATGCCAGTTGGCCAACGTACTTAAATAACCAACCAACCAACATATTTATTTAACATTCAGCAGATGGACATGATATGAACATCGTGGTTTTCAGTCGTAGTTTCATAACTACTCGATTTTCTCAATGCCAAGATTCAAACAGGTTCAGAAGGTAAACACATCTCTCCATCTCTTAACTTCTGGCCTAACATGCATTAACTTTCACTGACATTTAAATACATCTTGGGATGACCCTTCCAGGTTGCTCTCAGGGCTGCTTTCCAATGCTCCTTGCTGTTCCAGGAGCAGTACTGCCCTCAGATGTGATCCCCAGGTGGAGCTCTGGGGGTGCAGCTCCAAGCTGGGGCTGGGATGGAGATGCTTTGTTGGAATGGCATCACCACCCAGCTCAGCAGAGCCGTGCCAAGCCCCGATGGAAAAGTTGGAAAAAGCCTCTCCTTAAGCAGAGCAGACCACTGCTGGGCTGCAGCAAGGCTGGGAGTTGTGTGCCAAACCAGCAGATCCCCAGTTTGTGCCAATTCCCAGAGCTTCCTAACTTTCTCCAGGATGGACTACATCCCAGGAAATCTTGCTTTGTGACAATGATGTGGATGGTGACAGCCCAAGCACAGACCAGAGCCCGACTGCTCAGAGCAGAGAAGGAAAGCCCGAGGTATTTGAAATTTAAAACCTCACAATCTTTTCAGAACTACTTTTCTTGGGGAGTTTTTGTAAGTTTACAAAGTCGGTATGAAGGGATGGTGCCTGTGTTTAAGCATAAGTAAAACAGCTGGTAAAGGCACTTGAAAAAATATTAACAACAACATTATAAATGGATTTTTGAAGAACCATTTAAAGTTACTGTGCAATAAACTGAGTAGAATGACATTGAATGTCAAACTGGGCACAGTAAAAATAAACATTATTCCAAAGGAAAATAAAAAAGACTGCATATTTATGTAACATTCAGCAGATGGACATGATATTAATACAGGGGTTTTCAGTTGTACTTTTATAGCTACTAGATTTTCTTGCCTAACTTGGCAACCCAAGGCACCATTTGATTTTTGGATTTGGACAATACTGCAACAGATGTCCAGACCAATAAAATAAATTCCTAAAGGGCTATGCTTAATTTGTGTAATTGATCAATTTTTGTTACATGGGCTTCAGCTCAGCAGCCTTCCAGATTAGCTCAGCAGTAGGGGATTTCATTCCATATGTTGCAATGGTTTATTGGTCCTTTTGATGACACTGCTGATTCAGCAGCGCTGGTGCAGGCACCTGTTGGCAATGAGAATGTTATAAAACCCACGGGGACCAGGGCAAATATTGGTACAAAATCCTTTGGGTGGCTTGTAAGCTTCTTGTGGGCTCAGCTTCCCACGTGCCAAGGAGCAGCATGGAGAGAACAGCACCTCTCCTGTGGTATCTGCACCAGAGTCAGAGAAGGTGACTCCGCCTTTTCTATAAAAAGTAATAAGTGCTCTAAAACATCGAGGACAGATAAATGTTGAAAAATGATATCAATAAAAATTTTGTAGTACATTTCCTCTAATACGAAATGTCAGTGATTTACTCCTTCCCAATACAGGTTTAATTGATTCAAATAGCATCGGTAGTAATTAAAATATGGATTCTGAAGCACAACTGTTAGCTCTCATCACTCACCTATTAAACTTGCCATAGATGCTGTGTTAATTATCTTCCCATATCCTTGATTCAGCATAATGCGGCCTGCAGCCTGTGACAGAAATTAAAGGAAAGACCAGTGACCCTTTCTGTGATTGTGCTAATAATGACATGGTAATAAATTAGTCTTTTCAGAAGAGTTGATGTGCTAACACATTTTTTTTAAGTACCTGATATAAAAACTTGGTATAAAAATGGCTGATGCAGGAAAAAAATCCCATTGCCGTTTCACACCTCTCCACTGTTGGCAATATTTTTTTAAAAAAATCACGAGTGTTGGGAATTCCCCCCTCCAAGCTTTCTGGACTCTTTAAATAACCACCCTTCAAAAAACTTTTGGCATTCTTTAATGCCTGGGATTGGGTAGCCAGCAAGTACCACCTGCTTTTGACTGTATTAACCAAAATCTGTAATTAATATAAAGCAAATCTCCCCCAAACTCCACCAAAATGAGGAACAATTTTATTGTGATAATTATTAATAAAGTGCTATTATATCCTGAGATAAAATAAGCACTTAGAATGTTAATATTTGCAAAACTAACCAGTGCAGTATTTCACACTTACTTGGCAGCACAAAAATAATCCTCGCAAATTAACATTAAAAGTTTTGTCCCATTCCTCCAGGGAAGTCTCTTCACTTGCAGAGTTCAGATTGATTCCTGCATTGTTGCATGCGATGTGCACTGTGCCCCAGCGAGCCACGATTGCATCCACCATCCTTTGCACATCCTCAGGCTTACTTACATCTGCTGCCAGGGCAAGGCTTTTAATGCCTGCATTGAAATAAGAGTGATGGAATCAGCACAGGAATTCACAGAGGGAGAAAAAATTATATTTTATGATTGTTTTTTAGTTCATATATAGAGATATTTTATATATAGCTATATTTTATACATACATGCGTGCATATGGATATTCCCACTTAATTCATTACTCCACAAATAGCAGCAGAAGGCGTGTTTGTTTCTGCAGGACCATGATAAAGTCGCTGAGTGCTGCGAGGTTTGCGGGCTGGAGCCCAGCCTGGAGCGCAGGTGTGGGAGCAGCACTCGGGCAGGACGAAGCTTGGAACGCGGCACCATCTTCTGTCCAAAGCCTCAACTGCAGCTTCCCCAGCTACACACGCTTTTCTTCTGCCAGGTCCCCCCCAAGATGCTACAGAAATCAAATTAATTCATCCCAAACTCATCTCTGGGTGAACTTCAGCATGCAGGGAGATGGGAGCCTCAGACAAAGCCAAAGCAGTTTTAGGTGGGAGCTAAGTGGGAATACCTGAGTGGGCACAGGTATGGCAGTCACAGTGACTTATTTATTGCAAATTATACTGTGCCAGAATAATGCAAACATCTGGCAGTGATTTACCAAATTTGAAACATTTTGAAGAATTTTTGCATTTTTTCCTAAAATAATCCAGCCATTGACTTTTGTACCAGGGCTGATCTGTAAATAACTTTATTTAATTTTTTATAAAAATCAGCTTTAAATAACCTTATTGTTAGACAGCATAAGAAGCTGCTGAGGCACCTGATGTCACTGGGATTATACCCAGCCTCAAAGCCAAAAAAGGCTACACCAGTAAGGGCTGTGGTGAAATGGGTTTTAATTAAGGGAGGAGGGAGGCAGTGAGTGGGGTTGGACCATGATCCGCAGTCTGGGTAAGAAGTTGCAGCTATTAAAGCAAGATATTTTTCTTCTATATAAATGACAAATCTGTTCCACACTGGTACCTCTTTTAGATCATTCTGATGAAACATTCAAAAGAAGGGATCAGCCTATTCCAGGAGGAGACTCTCCCAAAATTAAGCAGAGATGGAGGCTTCCAGGAAAGCAAGGCAAAGCAGGAATTGCCCAGTGGTGTGTGGGAAGAAAATGGCAGGAAAGAGGTTTTTGCATGGAAAAGCTCATCTCCAGTGCCTCCAGGAGCCTGTCAGAGTGCACAAACCAAGGTGATGCCACTCTGAGGTGCCAGGGCATGGGAGCTCCTGTCCCTTTCAGTGATGACACCAGTCTCTTGATTTCCATGGCAGAGCAAAAATACAGACAACTAAAAAATGGATGCATGCTCAGCCACAAAACAAGACCTCTTATTTTATGGCAGGTTTCATGCTAAATATGCTGAAAGAATAAGAATAGGCAGACGGCCCCTAATTGTTATCAAGACTTGCAATGCACAGGGAGTTACTGCAATCTTTCTTTTTCAATTTACAGATAAAATGGGTGCAAGTGTGTTACTAATGGTAACAGAAAGACTCTTCACCTGCCCTCCAACTCTCACCCCATATAGAGCTTCGTCTTATAGGTCAGTTTATAAAAATGAGACAAAAGGTGCCACATGTGAATGTCTAGTGAAGAAGCAGTGAAACCACGCTCACTTCAAACCAGAGCCCCACACTCCACCTTAATCAATTCATCTGATACTCCTGCACTCTGGGAGGGGGGAGGAAACCACTTTCTGTCTCTCCACTGTCCCCTCAAACCACCTGTTAAAAAATAATAAATAAAACAAACGATGGGAAAACAGCTTCAAATCTAGAGACACAGTCAGAGGCGAGACACTCGGCACAGGATGATGCTGCTGGGTGCGTGGTGGGGCCAGTGCATCTCCACAGCACTCAGCTCAGCTTTGTGGGGCTTGTGGAGGCAGGTTTGTCATGAGAGGGGCAGGAGAGGAGCCCAGGGGCTCTGTGCTGGAGACAATCACTGTGCTGGATATGCTGAGGTGTCCTTCTGCAGGGACACACACACGTCCCCCTGCCACGGGCTTCATCTCTGGTCTCTCAGTGTAAATGGAAGTAACACGTTGCATATAGACAAGAAGATCAGGAGTGACATTGCACAAGGCATTTGCATAGTTTACAGTGAAAATGCACATTTTAAAAATCCCATCAGACTAATTCTTCCCTTAGGGTACAGGCAGTGATTCCCCCTGAAGACAGAGGTGTGTGTAGTGGAAGGTAACCCTTAGGATTTTTTGGTAATGTTTCATCATTTTTGGTTCTTCAGTCAGGATCCATTAGTAACTATTGAAAAAGGTATTCACACAGGATCTAAAAACAAAGAGCCCTGCAGCCAAGGGATGTACACCCGAGCTGTCTAACAAAGCTAAAACTGAGATCACAGGCGTTCTGATGTTTAAAACTCATCATGAAATGATGGCACCATCCCAAAAGGCAGGAAAGGGCTCCTTGATAGAAGAAGCAGAGCAGCTCTAAGCAAGCTAAGCAAAATGTTTTAAAAAAGTATCAGTATGGGAATGACTTGGGGCGCTGAGCTTCCAACTTTGAGTTATCAGAGATCTACAGCCATAGAGAAGAAAAAAAATCACAGCCCCTTTGTCCTTATTACAGCAGGAAAAATACGTATTAATGTTATGATTGCTTCAATTTACTCATGTGAATATTTTGAGAGTAAAGCTAGCTGAACCTTTTTGTCAAAATTTATTTCCAGCAGAGTGTGATACTTCTTTGAAGCCAAAATGTTTCATGGAAACATTGATTTCAACAAAAAGTTTTCAAGGGAAAGCTTCTGAGGTCCAGGCTAGAATCTCTAGTTACCTCTGGAGAGAAAAATATTGAAAACCTGACCTTTTCAGATCCTTTCCAAAAACGGGCATTTGGATATAATTCCTTTTCACAAAAGCTTTACAAAGTTTGGGGGTTGTTCCAACAGGGAACGACAATAAATTCAAAACCTCAAAACCCATCATGAGATGGAAGAGATGTGCCCTGACCAGCTGCACTGGTCAAATTGATAGATAATATTTGACCTCAAAGGATAAAGATGTGTAAAGAGTGAGAAGTGAGATTTTCTTTGCTTTAGACTGCAATAATATTTGCTATGCCTCATGACCTCTCCGACTGCATTTTGGAACAACCCCCCCACCTCCTCCAGGCTGGCAGCCCACTGCTGAAGGAGCAGAGATGTAGGGCAGCCATTGAAGGGTAGATGATCAAACTCCTACTGAAAATGCCCTGGAGATGAGTTAAGTTCATTTTCCAATAGGCTGTTGGCATCTAAAGTCTCATGGCTCTATCAAGTAGCCCATTTCTATCCAAATAGCTCTGCTTGATATGCAGGATCTCACAGGGAAAAAAATGTCCAAAAGGAGAGTTAAGGTGTAGGGCACAGCTACTTTGTGCCAAAACCATATGGCTCCAGTGCATAAGTGAGTGAAAAGCTTCGGGGAAGGAGGGACTGGATGACTCTAGAATTTGTAATAGGAACTGGACACTTTCTTCTAGGTCATTATTAGGGATCAGAGCTTTAACCATTGCACTGACACTCTGTGTGAAGTGTCTCCTGCTTAGCAGAGCTGGGGTTGTGCAGACAAGGATGTTTTGTTTTAAATGTTCTCTGGGGAGCCTCAGAACAATGTCCAAACCAGAATGACACCAATCCTTTTCCTGAGACTGGGTGATATAAATGCATCGGCAGGGGCTGGTTTTGCTGGAGAATATGGTTTCTAATGGCCAAATCCCTTGCAGAAATCAGAGGGGAAACAAATATTTGGTGACTTTATCCAGGTGGGAATGTGAAAATTTCCTGTGTAATTGTCCATCTTTAGAGACAATGAAGTACTGAACTTTGAAGAAGGCTCGGGTGCAATCTCACAGAAGAATTTATAAAATGAGTAATACTTCCTTTCTTTTATCATTAAAATTATATTTCCAGTTTTCTTTTTTTCCCATTTACAATTGCAGTTTAGCACAGCTCTAGGGGGAAATTCAATTTTATGTAACATTTTCTGTTTTTACTGCTGAAACAGGAGTGGCTTGTAGAGGATTTTACCTCTTATTTGGGATTTTACTTATTATGTCTATTAGTATTTTGTTCCCATATCTGGCCTTGCACACATGTTTGAAAGAGAGCTTAAAAAAATACTTATCTTCAATTTAAAGGGCACAGTGAGAGATTCAGATTGGCAATACAACTATCCTGTTTTGGTGTTTTGGCTCATGGTACAGACAGAAGGTCTGGAAGAGGATTTAGGTGAGTTTGTGGGCTGTATCTTTCATTCACTCATAGTGAAGCCTGCATGATTTACTTTGAGCAGCACCATCTCTGTTCAGTGCTGGTCACACAGACCTCACTTGCACAAAGTGACTTTTCTCTGTTCCTGTCAGCCATGGCTTACCACTTTGGACACTTTTAGCGAGGAATTTTGTTTGGATCACTTTGCCTCTCTAGAAGAGTTTATATTGATAAATAACTCTCACTGTGGTATCAGTGAGTGCTGGCACAACACTGACAGGGCAGGAGAAGCTTTGTGCCTATGGCTTGAAAATCCTCTATTTTAACCACTTTCCCAGCAGGGCTGGATGGGAGGTGGTTACTCTACAGAGCAGTGTGAGGTTTGAAGGAAAACCACCCATTGCAGTGTCCACCACGCTCAGTGCTTACCTGTGGGAACCCAGGGCAAGGGGAACATCCCCCTTTCTGGGGGATAAAAAAAACCACTTACCTTTGAGGCTGAGCTCACACGCCACCGCTTCTGCCTTGGCAAGGACCAGATCCACCACAGCCACTTTAGCCCCAGCTTCCCCCAGGGCGTGGGCAAAGGCCCTGCCAATCCCCTGCCCTGCTCCCGTGACATAGGCGACTCTGCCGTCCAAACGCAGCCGCTCCAGGATGCGGCGCTGGTTGCAGCCCCAGAAGACATCATCCTTCAGCACTTCTGTCTGCAACAGAGCACAAACACGCTGCACAGTGAGGGGCACAGCTCACTGGCAGCTGTGGAGGACTCTGCTGGTGAGAATGAGGTGGGAGCACCAGCAGGGATCTGTGGCAGGTGCATTCTGCTCTCTCTCAGGACCTTTTCATAGACAGGCTCAGAGGGAAGAAAGAGAAAACAATTTCTATTTCTGCTCCTTGTTTTTCCCATGTAGAATGTGCTTGGAGAATTTTTTACCTGGGGTGATTGCTTGATTGGATTCTAGTGAGGATTGTTTGAGCCTGATGGCCAATCCAACCCACCTGTGGCTGGACTCTAGAGAGAGGGTCATGAGTTGTGAGTTATGGTTAGATATGGTAGTTAAAAAAGGTAGGTTTGTGGTTTTAGTATCTCCTTTAAATAATATATTAATGTATTATAGTATAGTTATGATAAAGAAATGATTCAGCCTTCTGAACTGGAGTCAGAAATTGTAATTTCTTCCCACTGGTTCTACAATTACAATAGAGATCCATGTCTTCTTGGCCCATTAATTAATACAAAAAGTATCATTAATCCAAGCCAAAAAGTCCCCTTATCCATATAGACATGAAGCTCAAACAGAGCACTAAGGTGCCAGACAATGGAGCAGAAGGGCTGTGCACTGGGGAGATGCTACAACCATTCCACTTTCAGGAGAGCAGGATATGGCATTTCCTAGCCTGGCTTCGGTACAAAGTCTTAGAAGTTGACTGATTAAGTCTTCCACTTATTTCATCCCCAGGGCCCAATCTTTCCCTCAGGCTCAGCTAAGAGGCGAAGAACAAGGTTCCAAAGGCAGGATTTGGGTCAAGTAGAGTGCAATCAAAATATCTTCACAAGGCTGGTGCACAAATAAAGATATCAGCCAATAACTTAAACCAAGCTGTCATCTGATCAGCTGCCATACATCATTTCCCCCCAACTGGAATCAAAATGCAAAATACAAGATGTTTAAAATACTGAGTTTGAAATGCCAGGAATTACCAGTGGGTGTAGCTTTGGGAATGCTCAGGAACTGCAAAACAACCAGGATGTTTGGGTCTGGGTTTACTGAGGTAGGACATTATGATTCCAGATGGGAATTTCATTACAGCTGGATGATGCCCACTACATAAAACAGAGAAAGATAAAAGCACAGTTTTTTCCTTAGGAAAAGCAAAATGTAGGGCCATGAAAATATCCAGCTCAGAGAGCACAGGAGGGCGTTCTGTGCTGTCTTTGAGCAAAAAAAAAAAAAATGAACTATTTCAGAAATGTTGTCCTGGTTCATTTCAGCAGGTCCTCAGCTCCATCTTCCCACAACCTCTGGATGGGAAGAATGGGAGAGCACCAGGCACTGATGCCTGGTCATCAGTACACCAGTCACTCCAGAGATTCATCACAGGACCAGCTGATCTGAAAGATTTTGCAAGGAATCAGCATTTATCAGCCTTAGTGCAACCCTGCACTGGTGATGATAAAAGGTGCCAAGCTCTAAGCTGCTAAACCCATGATCATGGGACCACATGTTTGGGTTCTTGCCACCAAACTCCTGAAAATTATTTTGTCCTTGTCCTTGGCAGAGTCAAAATGTTCCCAGAAATGCTCACAGAGATAAAATACCCACCTTGGATTCAATCACTGCATCTGGAGGCACAGGGCTCCTCCGAATGAGGCTCAGTCCACTCTGCACAGGCAAAATCACCTGCAAATACAAAACAATTCTCATCTGCTTGGTACCTGGCTTTCTGTCACCCAGATTCCACTGATATGAAGATAATCCTCAGGCCACATTAGTTTTTCCCCTACTTCTGTTCTTTAGCTGAATCCAACACAAACATTTCAGGCATTTGTATTTGCTCCCATCCCTCTTCCAAACTCATTGCATACACAAATGCCAGGGAATAAAAATGCAATCTTGTCTCTCCAGTTTCTAAAATCACAACATATTTTCTGTGCATCCTATTACTTCTTCTTTTTATTCTCTTTGCTGACTCCTGTTATGCTGGTGATGCCCTACAGCCCCCGGAGCCTTTAAAGCAGAGTGGTGATTCTTTAGTTGTGCTGTAGAGCTGATTATTTACTCCTAAGTGCTCTCTTTTTATCTTGCCTTTAACACACTATAAGATGTAGACAGAGCAGGGACCACTCCTGAATATAGAAACTCATACCTACAGCTCAAGTGAGGTGAATTATAATAAAATCTGAGTTCATTTTAGGTCCTTTGGATAATGGCACCAACAAAAGAAGCATTTTAAAGAGTACTTTGCAAAATCCATAGATACAGCACCGCGGGCACCTTAACCAATGGCATTGCACTAACCTGCTCAACACGAGGATCTGAATTAATCACTGAATTTAATTTTCTGAGAGCTAGTACATTTTCATCTGATACATTCTCCAGGTAGACTTGTCCTTTCATGAGTGTATTCTCTACACAGATCACTGCATCCATGCTCAGCAAGTGGTTATCCATGACAAAGCTGTAGTACTGAACAGCATTCCTTTGATCAGCATCAATAAAGACTATATCAAAGTGCTCGTCCTCAGCATGTAATGCCTGGGGAAAAAAATTATATTGGAGAAAACACTAATTATTTACCTGAAAGTTTAACATGTTGCCATTAATTTGTTGTTTATATAAACACCAAACCAGACAGAAACTTGTTCTTTTAAGGTAACACTGCTAGAAATGTTTCTGGAGCTCTTGTGAGTTTTCCATGCTTTGCAAACAATTATTTAGCAACGAATCTCCAAACTTCTCAAGGAAAATCAGGATATAAAAGAGGATGTCTCGTCCCAGCTTATGGTGTTGAGAGTCACAGCAGAAACACCTGCAAACCTTGAGTCAAAGTAAATTGATCCATCAGGGTAAGACTGACATCAAACCCTGACACTGAGGTGCTGCAAGAAGTTCTCTCTTCTCAAAAGAGCAACTATCAACAAATTGAAGAGTGGCAATTATATCAGTCTGGGGGAAAAAAGAGGCATAAGGCAGATCTGGGAATTGCAAACTAGTGTGTCCCACTTCAGTAGCAGGAAAATGGTTAAAATCCTAATTAATATGGAATTATAAAGCACATGAAAGAACAGGTCATGATAGAGATAAAGCAGCACAGCCCCTGTGAAGGAAAATGATGTTTCTTTAATCTAAAAAAAATGCTTTGGATGGCTCAGCAACAGAGAGGATAAAAGAGAACTGGCTGCTATCATCTAATTGGATTTTCAGAAATGTGGCACACCTTCCCTCCAAGCAGGCTGCTGATGATAATGTAGAAAAGTGTTGATGGATGACCAGATGGGAGCCTTTACAGCCTTCTCCTGTGGCAGTTAATGCACTCGCTGCCCAAGAGGCTGCTATGGAATATTTCAGATTCCATCTGGGACTATTTAACTGCATCTGTGTGCGTTGCAATGAAACAACAGCTCATCCACCTATCTCGGCGAGCAGAAATGCTTTCAAGTCTTTGCATTTCCAGGGAAAAGAGAAACAGTTCTGTTTTCCAGAACTCACTGTCTCTACCACGACTTTTAATGGTGCTTCTTGCGTCCACATTTCCCTTTTGTGTTTAGAGACATCATGCACAACGAGTGATGAGCCATCCCTTGGGATGTACCAGCAAAAGCATCCACAAAGGCAACAGAATGTGAAAAACTAGTTTGGTTTGGGGGTAAGTAAGGTTAATGGCTCCCAAAGAGAGATTTCAGGAGCTTTTCTGAGACAGGAGTGTGTGGATCAGACAAGGAAATCGAGGAAAGCAGATACTGAACTCCTCTGTTGTGCTCTGAACTCCTCTGTTGTGCAAACTGGTGTCATTGTGAGCTTGTTAGTGGTGAGGGAATTAAGCCTGGATAGTCACATTTATCTGTGGATGCTTGATAGCACAGAAACTCTGCTGCAAGCATTCACAAGCCCACATTTAGGACACATTACACTATAATGAAAGAAGACCTTAAGGCCAAATATATGCTGGTTTATTATAAATGTAGCAGAAACTGGGACATCTGGATTTCTGGGACTCATCTTTTCATCCCATGACCAACAAGAAAATCTTGCCCTGGTTCCCTCCTGAGCCACATTGGTGGAAAGCAGCAGGAACATTTTCGCTACTGTGGAAGAGTATCTTATGTCAGGTTGCACCTCAGTCAGTCTGTCCAATGTAGATACTTCAGGAAGGGTCAGAAGATGAAAGCTGGGTGCAGGAGCCCATCATGAAGAGAGATTAGAGGTCTCATTCCTCAGGGAGAAGAGCCAGAGCCAAATTCAAGTAATTATCATGACTTATCACTACATTCTGACTCGTAACCTTCCTGGGTGGAGGAGGTGGGGGGCAGACATTCAGAAACAGATGTGGCCATGGATGAACATATGTTATTCCTGCTCTGTGGGATGGCTCCCTAATGAAAAAGAATCTCACTTTTATGCACTGATTTCATTAGGTCCATATGGAGTTGTGCAGCTCTGTGGGTATTAGCTGGACTTCTCATTTCAGTCCTCTTTCTGTAACACCTACCCACTGACAGCTTATCTCTTTCTTATCTGTCTTCTGATACAGATAAACCACCTTTTAACATCACAGCATCCATCCCAGGAGGTGCCTGGGTTGGATGTGCAACCAGTGCACACCAGGCTGGTCCTGGTGCTGCCTGGGCATGCCAGGCCATGGTTCCTAAGGCATTTCTCTTCTGCCACTTCACTGAGTCCTGAGTGGCCAACCAGAAAGGTCATCATCCAGATACCCAGTGTCTGACACACTGAAGGAATAACCTGAGTTTGTCCTGGGACCTGCCATCATTTCAGCTTCTTGTTTCCACAGCTTCATAATTGCTGCTGGGTTTTCAATATTTGCCTATAAGAGGAATCCACAAAATTCCTTAAACCAGCCTCACCTCGAGAGCAGGCTCTAAACAGCAGGATAACAGCCACAGGGAGAGAAAAGTGTTCTTTTTCCTGGAGCTCCTTGGCTAGCAAAACACAGGTCACCCAGGCAGGTGGTCACCATGGCCAGGGCACCACACTGGAGAGGGTTTCCTCACTGCCAGCACCCACTGCTGAACAAAAATAGCCAGAAAATAAAAATCTGCTCTAACTGCAGAGCCAAGCACTGGAATGATGGGCACAGTGGTGGCGGGGACAACTCCATGCTGTCCAGTATGGATGAGGGGGTTTAAAATGAGGGGTTGACTACCCTGGCCCTCCCAGCACAAACTGGGCCCTGCCTGGGACCTCACAGCACTCTGGAGATGCCATTGTCCTTTGCTTGGAGAGGCAGAGCCCAAATGCCTCCAACTGTGAGGAAAGCTGAGATCCAGAAGGAAATAATCTGCCTGCAAAATATCCTGCTGAAACTAATTTCCTGAGTGTTTACAGTTCAATCCCTGCTCCTTGCTACAGAGTCATCATAGATGGTAACAGATGGCAATAAGAGTTTTAATTCAGAACAAACTTGGCTAAAATTAATGCTTTTGCTTACAATGAGTCATTAACTTCCTTTCAGATTTAAAAAAAAAGTGTAACACTGTTTTCCATTGAGGAGATGTACCAAAAGTGACCATGACAAAGGGCACAGAAGCTGATGGATACAGCAAAAAAATCAGGGAGAGGACATCCCAGATAAAAACATGAATGAATCTTTTGCCAAAGCTCAGAGCAAACCTGATTGGAGTCCTGATCAGAGACAACACTCTCATAAGGCACATACAAACTCAATCAGAAAAAAAATGACTGCCCAGTTCCTTTGATATGGATCATACAGTCAGCATATTTGTAATAAAGATGTACTCAAAACGTATTACCTTTCCTGTGCCTTGTTCTTGACCTAAATGTAATAGCAATCCATCCTTGGGGTGCACAGAATACATGAAAAAGTACAGTTTCCTTTTAAAAACACCATTAGAATATTTTACTGTGTGTGGACATACACTCTTGTTACTCCTAAATGCTATTCTATTGAGTACAGTTTATATTCACCAGCAAAGTGAAATCTCTAGGGAAGCCAGAGAGGGAATGCAATTTCTAGTAATAACAGCTCACAACAGTGAATACTATCCACTTATCCCCACAATTTCCAGCTATTTTGGACTCCTTTCTGAATTAACCTTTCATATCAAAAGGAGCAATTCTAGAGCACACTAGAGACTCCGACACAATTTCATGCATAATTTATTCACTCAGTTCAACATTAAACGCAGAGTCCTTGACTTTGTCAAGGTGGATTCTGTTGGCAGACTTCACAAGCAGCAAAACAGGAGAAATGAGATCTGCAGCTCAACCTCTTCACCTATTCTGTCTGCTAACAGGAGGGAAAAAAGAAGAAAGCAAACCCCAACATGCTTCCACAATGCCCTGCAATCAGTAGAACTGGCTGCAAACACCGCATTATTTTTGTGTTGCATTTTCAATTTTAAAATGGAAGGATCAAAAGAATGGATGGGAATAATTTCCTGATAGTTTGCATTCCCTCCAGACCCAATCCTGCATCCATTGTTCATCCAAAGTCCACTGGGATTTGAAGGGAGCTCTTTGTGCAGGATCAGGCTCTTGCTGGCAGCAGATCCATGGCAAGGCACATTATCCAGGCATGGCTCATCAGAGTTCAGACTGAAGGGAAGATTTGTGGGGAAATGTTTTTAAATGTGGCCCAGAATATGTTGGATAGGTAGCTAATTCCCACCAAAGACACCTGTACCTGAGACAGTCAACATTTCAAAATACTGTGCAAAATTCCTGAGGCCCTTGAGCACAGAGGGTTGTGTTGTGATGTGAGCTCTGTGCTCTGCTGGGGACCTCACCCAGCCTGGCAGTGTCTGTCCCTCGTGGAATTTTATCGTTTCACCCTCAGGTATCAAGTGAACCTACCATGTATTTGAGCTCTCTGGCTCCTGTCTGATACTTAGCATCCCTTGACAGGTCAAAATCCCAGATTTGTGCTGGCTGTGATCTGGAGCAAGAGGGAGGGAAACAGGCCAACCCCACCAGTGCTGTGTGATAACACAAGGGAGCATCAGGGGGCTTCAGAGAGCCTGGCCAAGGTGCTGCCATGCACTGCTGTGCTGCCTTTGCTCTGCCTGCTCCCAGCCCTGCTGAGCCTTGGATTTAGGTGAAAGAGCCAAAGCCACAGGGGTGACATCATGGCCCCACTGTCTGAGGTGCCCTGGCACAGATGTGTTGCATCCTTATCTGCTGCAGGATCTGGCAGCTTCCCTGTCAAGGGCAGAAGCAGTTGTGGGAGCAGCACTGGACACATCCTGCAGCACCTGGATGAAGCCTGAGGCTGGGATGCAGCTCCTGGGTAGACCAGTTTTACACCAAATGGAGAGATCCTACTCCTTCTGACAGTTTGGACATGCTGAATCACAGCTTCATGCAGCAGAGAAGGAATTCCCTGGCAGCTAGTTAATCTATAGACCATATGACATTTTCTTGCTTTGAATGGGCCAGGGCAGTGAGGTAAATCCTGCTTCCAGGATTTTTGTATTACTGCAAAAATTTGAGGAGCAGCAGGTAAGCAGAAATATTGCCTTGCTGTACTCAGCTTAGAAGCAGCATTCAGCCATCATGACCAAGCAAGAAAGCTTTATCAGACACCTCAAGGAGCCCTGGTGGGTGACCAGCTCTGCCCTCTAGTTTCTACAAAGGGACAGGAATGACACCTAGGGCTGCAGACTGTAGGCAACAAGGACAATCCTTGCCAGAATCCAGCTCTTCTAAACCTCACTGTGCTCCTCAACAAATGTTAGCCAGCTCTGCTCTAGACCAGCCTCCCCACAGACCACGAGGGACTGAAATGTTGTGTCCCTCTGTGAGGCTGAGCTGTGAGAGCCCTGCTGTGCCATCCCTCACCCATCTCCTGCCTGTGGCTGCCTTGTTCTCCTGCCTCTCAGCTGCCCACGAGGCAGCAAAAGAAGCCTGCTCAGTCTCCAACCCACACTGGTCATCTGGGAGGGAAAAGGCAGCACACTGTCCTCAGCTGAGTCTCTTCCACATCCCCAGGCATCCCATCTCAGCTGCCACACTCCAGCTGAGCAAACCTCAAGAATCCCAAAATGCACCAGAGAATCCACAGAATTCATTGCTCCAGCCATTGTGGATTAAATCTGTAGGACAACCCTGATTGTCCTGATACTGATGACAAAACGTCTGCCACACTGAATAGCAAAAGTTCAGAGCCCAGTGCAGAAATCCTGCACAGAAAGGTGTCCCCATGCTGGGAGCTCTCCTGCCAAACACGAGCATCTCTGTTCCCAACAGCTCCAAGAGGTATTTGAAGTTCTGAGCACCTGCAGAACTGGGGTCAGGATGTGCCTTCATGCTGCAATTGGAGGATATAAAATCAATTGCAGCATTCTGTTTTAAGGATTTAATTTTCATGTCTCTGCTCCCTTCTTTAATCTCTACACAGCATGTACTCTGCCTGCCTCTAGATATTTTAATTCAGTCACAGTAAGTCAGTTGCACAGAATGGGCACTAGAGAGCAACAGCAATTCAATTAATTTCACACTCACTGCAGGGAGCTGGGATTTTAAATGCTGCACATTGCAGGTGATCTGTAACATTTCGGTTTTTTGTGTACTTGCAAAGCTCTTTGTTTCTTTCTTATCAAACTTGGAGGTCATGAAAACCAGAGGTCAGAAAGCTCCTGGCCATTTCATTTTAGAAATAAATATAGTACCTGCTAATGCAAATAAAGTTACAATCAAGCTCACACTGACACGTTCTGATTGAAAATGAAATCTGATCAAATTGATTTGTATTAAAAATAGAAAAGCTTTTTAATAAACCTGGTATGGGCACCACCTCTCTCCTGCTGGACCCGCAGCAGCATCCTGGAGATCCATAAACTGGAATTAAATGTGAGCTGCCAGTAATCATAAGATTTCTCTTTCCTGGGACAAAGTCAGCAGTCAGAATGAAACAAGTACAGTTAAGGCATTATTTGTCTGAGGCTAATCACATTGCTCTGGAAGTGAGAAATTGGGGCCTGACTCATCTAAGAGTTTGCTGTGGGGAAAAAGGGTGAGAGGTTTTGGCAGAATTACAAACTTCTCCAGGAGTTTCCCAGCTCTTGTGAACGTTGGGAGCAATCTGTCCTTCTCAAAAGTTGGCTCAGCAGGGCACAGATCCATTCTTCCTGTTTGCTGTATTTGGAATTAGGGATCCGAAACAAAGGCAACCCTTGTTGAGTTAAACTGCCATTGAAGCCTATAGACCTGCATTGAGAGCCCGTGATTCCTCTGATCAAAAAGCTGCAGGATTTTAGTTAAAAGGGAGAAAAACTGTCTTGTGTGACAGAGCTGCCCCATCGTACACTGGAAATAAGAAATAACCTCAGTGCAAGAGTGTGTTTACACATTTGCAAGCAAACCAGAGCATCGTGTGGGCAGGGAATAAGACCTGCCTGAAATTCTTTAACATGCTCTTCACAAGAAATCCCAAACTCCCTTTCCAGCTGATTTTACCTCCAAGGTGTCTGCAATTGGTCCCACTTGCATGCTTATCTTTTTGCCATCTGAGGAATAATCAAATGCTTCCTGGCTGTTCACTCCGAGATACGGCGTTTCTGCACAGGCAAAGATTTTGCCATTGTTTGGCAATTCCTCTGCAATATCAAGGATACTGTAACCTTTAAGCTTGCCAATTAATAAAATCTTCCTGGCTCTCATCATATGGACAAACATCCTAAAAATTTGGCCTGTGGAAAGACAAGAATGAAAATTTGAAAATAAAACCACGAGAAAGACTATACTTTGTTCACAATGAAAATTAGATGTGCCTTTTAAGTGATCATTAAAAAAAAAACCCTAATCTTAAAACACTCAAATAAGGGTTTAACCACAGAATCTGACAAAATTTCATCTAAAAATGCAGCTAAAAGACAACAGAATAAAAGGACTGATTTTAAATGTAGAACCTTTATCATCAATGCTGCTATTGTTCAAGTGCTTGTTAAATAGTGCTTGAAATATTGCATATTTTAACATTCCCCCCATATGAAAATGGCTTTGAGATGGCTCCATATTCTTTCTGGAATCCAGCATAAAAAAAAAAAAAAATCACTACATTACCTTGCATTTGCTCTTAGAGTCATTATCCCTAGACAGCACCATCATTTAAGAAATTTATCATCAGTGGTGTCCTTCGAACAATGTATTAGTGTAATAGATTATAAGAGTATTTCACTGGGATGATATATTACTCCAAAGATGAGAACATCTGGGAAGAATGAATCTGGGAATAAATTTAGTGTAATAGGCTTTATAAGAGGATACAAGCCTGGGTGTTTCTACTTGTAAAGGTGCAGAGCTTGGCCACAGCCACCTCCATCATAAAAGGCATATAAACCCCCATCAGACATCCCAAACCCAAACCAGAAGCATTTTTCCTTCCCTTCCCCTTCCAGGAAGGGTGATGATCTCCTACTGAGGGATTCACTTTAATTCACTGTGAATTAAAGCACTTGTGTGGGCACGTGTGAGTGAATACAAGGGCATGGAAGGCAGGGTACAGGAAAACTCGTGCCAAAGGACATCAAAGCCCACAGAAAGCTCATATATTTCTTTAAAAGTAATTTCCCATATTTTCTGAGTATTTCCATGGCATTCATCCTCCCCTTACTCAAGACAAAGTAGAGGATGATAGCTTCAACTTCAGTGACAGATTTTACACCAATCTGGTGCAATTTTACCCTCTTGGTTGAACAACTTGCCATTCAAAGAGCCAGAGGCACATGTTTCCTGCAGCCCGACTCTGCTTTCAACTCCTTCAACATCCTCTGGGATGTGCTCAGGTGAAGTTTTTCTGGAAAAAAAAGAAATTTCAATATTATGATAACAACCAAAATCTGAGCGTCCAGCATAAAAAGCAACAACCAAGAGGGAACTCCTGGAAAACCTCTGTCTGTGCATGACCAGGAAAAATTAGCCCAGAAGCATCACAAGTATCTTAAATGCCAATCCTAAGAGAACCTAATTTGGCAATAAGCACATCTCAGTGCTGGCAGTCACCCCACCTGTAGGGGCTTGGGAAGGAGGGACCATGGGGCTAAAGGAAAGAATTCCCCACTGTTCAACCCCAAACCTTCCCCATTTTCAGCTGGTTCCAGGCAGGTCTCTGTCTATCTGCTGCTTTGGAGTGCATTACTCCAGTTACCCTGGCCAGGTTTTGTTCAGTTCTACAATTATTAGTTTCGTCCCAGCCAAAAATAAGGTTTCTTTGAAGAATAGAGGGAAAGATATAAAACCTAAATTTTTCTTACAAGGCAGGGGAAAAAAATGTTTTTCCTCACAAAGTGCTCAGAAAAGCAGGGTGCCTCCAGATGCTATTTCACAGAAGCCAGGCCTGTGACAATGTCTCTGGATGAAGTGAGATGATACCTATTACATGGGGAAGGCAATAGAGGACTGGAAGAAGTCCATAGCCTCCAGACAGGTTAGATTACCCTATCTGAAGAAAGTAACCACCAGAAATGGATGGTGATCATTCTTCGGGCCAGAATTTAGAGCCATTTCAGTGGGTTTTTTCCTTCAGCTCCCCCCCTCCACTCCTCAGTAAAATGAGAAAGAATTCATAACCCGTGTCTGCCACAGTCAGATAACCCAAGACTTAAAGAGTAGAACATTTCATATAACCTCTTTTTCTGCCCCTCACAAATGCTTTAACAACTTTAATAAGATAATGTATAGCTATTATCCTACAGCAAGTGTAAGTCAAACAACTATCAGCTATTATTTCAGCAACAGAGAGAATGTTCAGCCTTCCCATAATCCACAGCCTGGAACAGTTTACACATTGTCAATTTTAGACAGAACTGGCTTTTTCCACATATCAAAATGTACACTGATTAATGGGAATTGTTTAGCAGACCCCACACGGCTGGGTAATATACTGTAGCTCAAAAAAGAATAATGAGGGTATCAGTTGGACTTCTGAATTAATGATACCTTAAATTAGTTTAATTAATTAGTTTAGTTACCAGAGTAATTTAGTTAGCAGATTAATTAATGTTTGTTGAGTGCTTGGAGATAAAAGCCATATATAAAGGCTGTTATTAGAGGGTGGATCCAGAGGTGCAGGTTTTCTTCACTCCTAATTTATCCCAGCTGAATCCAGGGGCTCACTCTTCGAGCCTTCCAGCAAGCAGTGTGGAGGCTGGCATTCCCCAGGATATGCTCCAGCTCAGACACTGCTGCAGTCAACAAGCTGGGAGAATATCTCCAAAAATGTACCCTTAAAGCTTTTTGCTCTCACCTCCTTTCCTGCAGGCTGTGGACTCACACACACGTTCATGCACACTTTGCTACATGTTTGGGTGCACTTAAGTCTCATTCCACCTCTCTCAGGGTCCAGGTGTTGAGGTGACCCCGAGAATGTAAAGGTCTTTTTCTCCCAGCCTGTGCAGCCAAAGAAGAAGTCGGAATGCACAGGGTCGGCTTCTCAAGGTTGTTTATTTTTTCTTATCTATAACATTCTTTCTCTGACCTGCTGAGCTCTGTCTAGCAAGTGGCATTCTGTCTGCCCTCCAGGACAGGGTTTACATTTTATACTAAAAAAATACCTGTGTTATGTTTACAATAACGTGCCAAAATGTATCATTTATGTTAGACAGCATGTCTCTACCTTAAAGCAATAGAAAAGTGTCACACCTCCTGCTGCTGTCCCTCACGTTTCTGGCATGTTCTGGACAGAAAATCCAAAAACACATTCACCCCATCACAGACAAAAGCACCAGGTTACAAAGGAGAATCTGTACCTCTTGGAAGTTGCCATTGCATCCAGGTAGGGGTCTAGTCCAAGAGCAACATCAAGAGCTTTTTGTAAGTAATTCCTGAGCTGTTCAGGTACACGAGAGTCCCTGAGGGCTATTTCTTTGGCTTTGAGAAGGTTCTCAGCAATGTGCCCAGCCACAGTTTCTGAAATGGAAATTAAAAGGAAGAATAATGATTTTGTAACTGCTCAATCAGTGGAAGTGGAGTTTAAAGTACATAAACACAGGTGTGCTTTTTTTCAATACAAATTACAGGGTTTTGATGGGATATGAGAACAATCACAAAAGCCTTTTCAAACTGAAAACATCTTATACTTCTAATAGATTTTTGCTGCATGCATTCTCCCTTTTTCCCCCTCAGAGCTGATCAAGAATAAGAATGTTTCAAACACATGAATTTTGCTTTTAAAGCTCCAAGACAAACATCAAACACCAAACAACTCCATATAAACCCTACTCCCCCAGGTCTGATTTTCCTTGGAGAAAACAGAATGCTTCCAACACTGCTCTTGCCAAACCAGGCAGGAGATGCAGGCAGTGGGTGAAGCTTTGTGAAAAGAAGGATCTGTGTGTCCATGGGATGTACAAGTGTCCCCAAGCTGTGTCTGTGCCAGGGAGGCTGCTGTGCACCACACAACGTGACAGCGTGTCAAAGGCTGTGGAAACATCTCCAAGAGCCAGATCACCTTGCTCTGGGAGCCAAAGCAATGCTGCCCATGGCATTGAACCTGCCCTGAGATCCCAGAAAACCCTTAAGGCACCAATCCACCATGGATCACAGCAAGCTGTGGCCCCAGTTCTGAGGAACTCCCCCACTCCTCAAGTGTCAGAGCACGTGCTGGGTTATGAAAGCACCTGGAGACAGAGGCCAAGAGGCTGGGGTGGAGCAGATTGCCCCTGGCAGGGTTTTATTGCCTGTGACAGAAAAGCTGCAGAGAACTACACGGAGTGAGTGAAAAAAAACAACATCTCTTTTACTTTTGTGGCTTTCCAGTACCTGAAGGGAGCCTACAAGCAGGATGAAGAGAGACCATTTACAAGGCATGAAGTGGCAGAACAAGGGGGAATGGCTTCAGGCACTTCAGGCAGAAAGAGGGTAGGTTTAGATTAGCTATTATGGAGAAATTCTACTCTGAGAGGATGATGAGACACAGGGTGTCCAGGGAAGTTGTGGCTGCCTCTGGATCCCTCAAAGTGTCCAAGGCCAGGCTGGACAGGGCTTTGAGCACCCTGGGATAGTGGCAGTGTCCCTGCCCATGGCAGGGGGATGGAAGGTGATGAGCATTAAGATCTTGTCAAACTGGCCCATTCAGTGATTCTGTGATACGATGGCATGATTTACATCTCATCCCAATCTCTAACCATCAGGGGAAGCTTTTATCTCTTCCAGCAGTTTTATAAATAATTGCAACTGCAGGAATAACCACCCCTTTCCCAACCCATGCTGGTTTGCTGACCTCAGCCCAGCTGCACCTCAAGTGAAGAGGACACATATTCTTCTTGCAGCATTTTCTACATGAGGGAGCATCCTTGGGCTCCCACTGCTCGGCTGGAGAGTGCTCCAGGTTGGGATCTGCTCATCCTCCCTGCCAAGCACTCAAGCTTTTTGCTAATTTAGGGGTAAAAACATGTTTATAATCCTTGTCGGCTTTTAGTAATCATCCTGTTCTGCTTCTGGATAAGTAACAGACAGGGATTGCCTGTCACACAAAGGGGAGGAAACAAGACTTAATCCCGCTGTTTTGTAAGCTGTGTTATAACACCAAACGTGAGAGACAAGAGGTGCTGCAGGCAGGGCATGCCAGGAGCAACCCTCCATCCGAGATTACACAACCTTTGCAGGAAGTGCTGCATTTTTTGCAGCTTGGTGATGCTTTGGGCCAACAGCAGAGGTCAGAATTGCCCTCATTTATGCAAGCACCAGACAAGTCAGAGCAGAGCTCAGGGCTGGCTGCCCGGCCCAAGGCTCGAGCACTAAGGTGAGCTAAACTTTATTTTATGTAACTACTTTTTATTAAGGGTATTCCAGGAAAAAGTGCTTCATTTCAGTGTGTGGTTTTACATAATCCCAGAAAACTGCTGGAATATATTAAGCACTAAATCAGATTTCCTGATTGTGTCTCTATGGCTCTGTGTATGCACAGACATTTCCATTTCCCATCTAGTTGTGCATTATCATCAACGGGAGAAAAGAAAAACAGCTCACTCAGAGGAAGAAAATGCTGAAAATAGCCCTACCATGGAAGAGAAAAGGGCTGCTTTAAGTCTCCAGCAGCTTCATAAAGAAAGATAGGGTGGCAATTCTTAAAATGCACCATTCTTGACAGCAGAATGGTTCCCAGCATCTTCCTGGGCAGGTGCTGAGAGCACAGCCACCCTGTTTTGCAGCTAAGCTGAACAATAAATTGCAGCTTCTACTCTGTTTGAAATCAG